GGTTTATCCAATCAGAGACCAGTTCTATGGTTTATCCAATCAGAGACCAGTTCTATGGTTTATCCAATCAGAGACTGGTTCCATTGCGAGTTTGGATCCTTGTTTTCAGTGATGAGAAAAGTTTTGTTAACAACTAATAGCGAAACTTATTTTTCATTTAGCGAATGAGCGTTTTCGCAAACTGTGGTAACCGTTAGTGGAATTAGCTTCCACTAAATTAGGTTTAGCCATTTTTAAGTCCACTAACAAATCAATCAAACTTATTCCTGTTGGTTGTGGGCGTGTCTTGAAGAGTCCATGAGGCACACTATTGGCTGACTACGTGTACACGTGACAAGACGTGATTGGTCAACAGCTACAACTGGAAGGATACGTAGACGTTTGATGCAGACTGAGTGACAGTCGTCTTAGCGGTTAGTGGTTTTGCATTAGCTCCCGCTAATTTATTATTTTTACTTGTTTAGTGGTTTAGCAATAGCAAAGCTAATTTTTTTAGTTTGCAAAATTATGGATAAGTGAAGCTAACGTTTTGTTAGCCACGCCCATCACTGCTTGTTCTGTTGGAAATCCCACCTGAGCCCTTGACTTAAGGTGAGGTTGAAGAGTTAGGAAGAAGTCTTCCTCCTTCAATGTTTTGACCATTCGGTCCACCATCATGGTGTTTGACAGTCAGCGCAGTGCTCTTCAGCTTCAAAGCTTCAAAGCTTCAACTTGTCTCCTCCAAACATGCTTCAGCTCAGTCTCTGTCTTGTCTGACCGTCAAACGTCTCTATAGAAGACGTGGTTTGTCCATGTGGACAGCTGCAGGTTTCAGTCCAGCTTGAAGGTTTTGGAGCTTTTGTCTTGGTCCTCTCAGCTCGTGGTGATGTAACACTGTCTTCACTGTGGACTGGCCTTCCAGGTGCTCCTAGTTCATGGGAGCCTTGGATGTTCCTGGGCTGTTCCTGATCATCTGAACCAGTTTACTCCACTTCTCAGGTCTTCTTCTGGACTTTCCCATGTTTATAAGTATTGGTCAGCTCAGTGAATCTCGTCAAACAAATCCTTTTCATGCGAGAAAGAAACATCTGTCAGCAGCAGTCAATCCTGATCACTAGAGAACATTAGTCTTGGTCTTGTGACCAAATGAAGACCCTCTAGAACCTTAAGCGCCACTGAATGAAAGTTGTGGGTGTATTTAAGTTTGTCTTCATAACCTGACCCTGTGTGGAACAAAGGAAATTAACCATAAATCAAAATTTTAAAAAATCATTAAAGTTATTTGTCCTACAGTCATTTCACTCTGGAAAAAGAACAGTTCATATTAATCATTAAAAGACCAAAAGTGATCTGAAGCTGTCTGTGCCCTCAAGTGGTTCAGTAATTAATTGCAGTTCAATTCATTTATTTTTAAATCAAAACACTTTAATATTTATTATATTTTGCAGTCTAATTAAATTTGCTCGATTTGAATCATTACTGATCGATCGAGCTTTTCAGTAAAGAAAGTTGCCGTGAGGCGTTTCTGGACGTTAGAAATTGCAGTTAATTTCTGTGAACCTGGACGAATCGTTCCGGCAGCAAACAGAATCCATCATTTTACTCGATTCTCAGAAAGTCCGAGTTTAAAACTGGTTGAAACTCACAAAGTTTGAATCCAGAAGGAGCCAAGATTCACGTCTGTGTTGGCAGGAAAACAGAGACGGGAGTTCTTTTTTTACAGACTGCCCTGAACGCAGCACGACTCACTGACACACAGAGAAGGAGAGTCATAAACGCCTCGTCAAATTTTGGCTCAGAATCTATAAAACAGGCGAAGGTACGGCCATTTTTATGTTGGCTAACATAAGCTGTGGCAGCCATCTTGAATTGGAGTGACTCTAAATGTCAAACAGTTGAAGACACACACACACACACACACACACACACACGTAAAACATCCTCATTTGGCGTGGTACTTATTATCAACATTCGTAAACTACCTGTTGTTTCATGTTAAATTACTGTTTGTTGATTAGTCTTGGATTATTTTTAAACTGTTCATTTTACTGTCAATATCATAAATAAACAATAATAAACAAGTTCTAAATTGACTCCACACAATCTCAGTAATACATATTGTTGTTTTTTTAGACTTGGAAAATGTTTTCTAGATGATTCTGAGTCTCAGATTAAATCATCTCTAGAAAAATTAGCATTTTCTAGACGAGCTCAGAGTGAACGCAGAGAGATGAACGAAACTAAAACTGGGTTTGTCAAATTAAAACAAGCCGAATGATGACAGCTAAAGGCAGAAGAACAGCTAAAAACAAAAAGAAGCCAACAGTAGCTAAAAGAAGCAAAACGGCAACCAAAATTAATTACCAAAAAGTAGCAAAATATTTTCACAAAGCAATAACTAAAAGCTCAAATAAGCTAAACAGTCCCAAAAGAAAAAAATAGCTAAAATAAATTTATAAAAAAAAGCTAAATAGAAGTGTATCGCACAAAGTGGACCAGTTGGGGACATGCACTAAACATCTACTAGGTTTTGCCAAGAGTGATAGTCACACTAACTGAATGCTGAACTCATTATGTTATTGCTTCCCAACAAAATATTTAGAAACAGACTTTATTTACAATTGTTGAAAAATAAAATACAAGCAAAAATTACATACAGCTCTCCCTTTTGTGATTAAAAATAATAATAATAATTAAGTTCTTTAGCAACATTGGGTAGTGTTGTGTATGGAATCTTATCTGTAATCCAACATGGGTTTTCCGGATTGTGAAGGTTCTTCTGTGAAATGATGTCCCGGCTGGTCACGCCGGTGCCACCTGTCCACTGTCCACCTGGGCTCGGCTCGCCGTCACGATCAAAGAATCCAGAGTCACAGAACCAATCTGCAGAAAGTGCAGAAAGTAAATCATTCTGTTCCCGTTCAATTATGACATCCCATGTGAAGAATGCAAATCATTCACGTACCGTATTTTCAGCATTATGAGTCACACTTTTTTGCATAAGTCACATGCCCTGCGACTTATAGGCTGAAGAAACGGATTTATGGATTTCTTTCCATATTCAAAACCAATTTTTGGCTGAGATATGACCGTTTTCATTCATTCTGACTGATTTTTTTTAAGCAGTACCCCTTTCAGCCACTTGATGGCAGCAGAGTAGTAGTAGCAGTATGGCATGCCATTGTATCATGTAATAGGTAAATGTGGCTATAATGACAAATTCAAAAAAGTTCAAGACAACAACTGGACTTTATTTATTATACTTTATTGTTTTTGTCTTGAACTTTTTTGAATTTACCATGTCCTGAATGACTGAGAATCTTCACCAGCTATTAATGACACAATCGGCCTGCCATAGTCTCCCCACCTTGGTTCTGCTCGCTGCTTGTACGGACCGTCAAACCAGCTGCACCACCCCGTCAAAATGCATTTATTAAGTAAAAGTTCAACTGAGACACCTTTGCTATAATTTCGAACAAACAAATAATTGTTTTTAGGAGTTTATCTTGTTAAAGTCCTCTCGTGCACGCTCCCGTGGCCGCCATTTGGCAGACCATCGATTTTTGGCACAACACCGGCTCACTTTTCCGGGTTGTCAGAGGTGACGCGTAACAAACACAACGCGTCAGCGGTGATGCATAATAGATGCGTCGTACACGGTGAAGCGACATAATTATGTATTTTTCCACTTTATTAGACAAATACGGACTGATGCGACTTATAGGGCGGAGCGACGTGTACGTCAGAAAATACGGTATTTCTCCTCTTAGTTTTTAGCTTAATCAGCTTAAGTTTATGGTGAACTACCATGAAATGCAATAAACAGTAGTTAACTGTTAACTATTTTTAGTGTTAAACCAAAAAAAAATACATTGACATCTTAAATATGCAATGCATAACTTGTAAATTAATCAAAATCAATGTTAGACTGCATAACATATCAGGCATATTAAAATATTTTGCCTTTCAATTGCTTCTAAAATGTTGATTAATGAATTTATAACACTTCAACATTTATTACTTTAACTAAAACCTGTGTAGTAGCTTTAATGTGGCTTGTTACTATGAACTGCATGTATTTTTAATGAGCCAATATGATTTAAATACAAAAAGCACATTCTTTGTCATTGTAGAGCTAATTCTAACTGTGTAAAATAATACAGGACTTTAGCATGAGCACCTGTGGTTAGTGCTAGCATTAGCTCGGTTAGCATTTTTACACTTATTTATGTCAGTACAATAAAGTAAAACACACCAAAGCAATTAAAACATTAGGACAAAGTCTGACAAATTCCCGATTGGTTTATTTAGAAACGT